CTTAATCACCAAACAATTCGCTAATAAAATTATCCGAGGGAAGACTCTTCTCGATGGCGATGGGACAATCTGAGACTTCAGAGTCAGCGAAGGTGATCTTACCTGTTTCCTCGGAGATAGGCGCAAGTTCTAAAAAGGAAAACATCGCAGGTAAGAACAGTCGGATATGTCTCCTCTTTGCCATATAAAAGAAAACGGGTCGACAAGGGGACACCTGATACGCTGCCCCGATCCTTCCCTTGGATCGTCTGTTCATCTGCGTGTTTCTCAGAAACTAACGGAATCTCTGTCAGCCCTTCCGCTGAAGATAAAACGTCCTCGGATGAAAGATATGTCGCTGTTGTCTCAGGCTGAATATTCGTCGAGCAAATCTCTCGATGTCTTACGAACTCGAGGAACTCGGAAAAAGTTCGCAATAACCTCTCGTTGGAAGATGAAGGACGACTCAGCGATTCCGTCGATCTTATATCTGAGGGAAACTAGATAGGCTAGAATTATAGCGAGATCTTCTACAGCGTGAGCGATCACGACGCTTGTGTTTTTTCGAGCCTCTATCTCTTGAAGAGCTCGGTGATCGCCTCTTCTTGTGTTTAGATATACTGGAATCAAATAGAAAACTCAAAATACCACTTAAAAAGGAAATGTAAAAATGAACTCTGTCGACTCTGCAAGAACAGAAAACGTAATGACAAGTAACGGTGCGCGCTTAGCAACGCCGGAACCGAGAGCACCCCCTTTTTATTTTGGCGCTCTGTGAACTATGTTAATAATGCGCACGAAGATGTGACTACATAGTTGTCCATCCGGACGAGACAAAGCATAATTAAGATCGAACTGCATTATAAGTTCGTTTAATTTTACAATTGACTATAGTGATAAACTTATAATTAGTAAGGAAAATGCAATATAATACATTATATGTAAGAAACATCGCGTCTTGTATAGTAAATATGTGTAAATTAGATAGCAAAATAACAAAATAAAAGGTTTTATAATGATTTTTGTCCTAAAGAAATATACATATGTTAATTGTAACTATGTTCCGCACAATTCATTATTACATATTTACAAAATATGCGATAAGTTAGAGTAAGCTATATAATAATTTTGTTGTATACATTTAATGTTATATCTTCTTTCTTCATTAACAGTACTTCCAATGTTTTAAAAACTTTAATCTAACGTCTATAAATTTTGTTTAATTTTTTTACTTACTGAATCTTAAAAATTTTTATTATTGCTTTTACAAAATCCCTTTATTTTCTTACTTAAGTTGTTAAATACATGTTTTGAATTTTATATAATAGAAGTCAGAAAACTACTGAAAAAAATACAAAAATATGAAGCAAAGCCATTTATTTTGCAAAGACATGATATCATAAATAATTGTTATTTGCTTTATAGAATTTAATATATTATATGCTTTACAGGACATAATTTTGTAGAAAATATCATATTTTTAGAGCATTTCTATTCTGAAGAATGTCAAACTTACGTTCGTAACTTACGACTTCACTCATTGAGGATACAAAGAAGAATGCGCCACTGATAAATAAAAAAACGGTTAATGCGCTTGCGTAGCTTTCACTTTCAGACTTCTCTCGTAGATGATATTCCGTGAAAAAGAAGCATCTGTTGAATACCATTCGGCGATGGATCGATTATTTAAGCGTGACCGCACTTTGACGCTATAGTCTTAAATTGGGTTTTTCAATTTTACAGAGATATTTTGTACCATCTTAGGTTGCGATTAGACTAAATTATAAAAATTACATCTTGAATTATGTAAATATTTTTGATAGAAGAAAAAACGTATAGAAAAAATATAGATAGATCAAGCAACAATGCAAAGCACACTTTGTTGCTTTCATCACCGTTATACGCATTTTAGTGCTAGCAAAGCGATGATCAGTGTCGTGGATACATTTTTCAGTCTCAATAGGATTATTTTATTGATAGTCGGTCTATGGCCTTATCAAAAATCGAAGATTTCTCGAATTTACTTATTTTGTTGCTTTGGTATTGTTATAACCTTTATTATATTTCAGGTATGTCGATATTTAGACCGTATTATTTTCCCATTAATTTGAAGATATTTCGTCGAGAAACTATATCGAGAATAATATTTCCAGATAAGTTGTGTGATAAATGATTGAGAATTACTATCTAAATTACTTTTGATTAAATTTCAAAGGTGATTATAAATAATAAAATCTTACATGGATACTGGATAGTATATCTATATTGAAGTAAATCTGTTTCATTAAATATATGATTAAATTTGATTGAAAGTGTAATCAAATACTTATTACTATTATTATTATTTTTTATTTATTAAAAATCGACTGTAAAACAGCTTTATTACATTACTTATAATAGTTATTGAAATAATACTTTCTATTTTTACATTTTGCAAAATTACATATATGTATACATAGTGATATTATATATGTATTGCAGAAAAATTATATTCGAGATAAAACTAAGCGGTAGCGCCTCGACAGTGTCAGTGCCAGTGCCGTATACTTACATGTCATTACCTGACTTTTTATATACTTGGCGTCGCGCCGCTATCGCTTTGCTTGATATTTTATGCAATAATTACAAATATTTTTTTTACCACAGTTTATTATTTAAACTTATATTATTATGGTTATTAATGTGTATGTATTTATTGGTATTAACAAACAGTATATATTGTTATATTTATACACTTCTCAACAAAATTAAAGCATCACTTACTCTACCCTCCAAAAATAGGCAAAATTCAAAAGAATGTAACTTTGTCAAAAATGATCGTATCGAGATGTTCAAAAAAGCATTTTACAGCTTGAAATCTCTACTTTCTAAATCGGTACTTGAGAAAACGATCCTACTGATGTTTCATAGAATTACACGGATAA